GGCGGGTGTGGAAGGACCGGGTGAGTAGACCCTGCGATGGAAGGTGGGGCCTGTTGGGAAAAGTCCCCTGGGTGCTGAGGGCTTTGTCCCCAGCTCAGCTTTCCCTCCAGCTGAGTCTTCCTCCACAGGTGCTTGGCTGTTTCTCAGGGATAGGGCTTTCCTAGGAACCCAAGGGTCACTTTGCCTGAGCGTCTAAGATATAGCTGCCCTCCCTATGCCGTCTCGCTCCTTCCTCCACCGTCGCGAGGAGCTGCTCCTGGAGAATTCTGCTCCCCTGGCAGGTGATCCCCAGTACCTCCCCGGCTTTCCTTCCTTCCCTCCATCCTGGAGTGGGTCTCCTCTTTTCTGAATCACTCCCCAGTAGCTTGCCCTTCTCTTTAAATGTTGTGGGGTCTTGGCTGCTTGACGTCTCAAGTTGCTTGAAAATGTGTCAAAGTCTAGGGCGAGAGACTAGGCTGCGGGAGTGTGTGAGGTGGTGCAGGAGGGTGAGGGTGGGAGGGCACAGAGGGCCTGAGAGGAGGGAGGTGGGCAGATCTTGCCACATCAGCTGTGTTCCTGAATGCTTGTGGGGGCTTTGGGGACCCCCTGCGTGTCAGGTGGTTACAGCTGTGTTGTTTACTGTCTGATCAATTGTCAGCATAGAGACCCAGGTGAGAAGCAACCTCTACAGCCCTCCCTGCCCTAAGGAAAGCTGAGCCCACTCACCCTGACCCCCCATGCATAGGCCCACTTGGAGTTTTGTTATTTAGGGTTATAGAGCACACACATGCCACACACAGGTTTGCATTGTCAACCTCATGCACAATGCTATCACAGCCAAGTAACGCCAGCTGGTCGTGGCATGGAATGCTCTGGACTCCACTGTCCTCCCAGGAGCTGACTTGTCAGTGGAATCAGAGGATTTCAGGGACCCATGGCAGTCCCCAAAATATAAATTCCTCATTTGACATTTGGAGAAACTGAGACCTGGAGTAAGTTGCACAAGGCCAGACAGCTAGTTAATGGTAGGTTCTTTGTACTTGCTACTACTCCATGTCCTACTCCTCTTATGCGATAACCCTAACCTCACCCCTATGGCATCATGCCTGCCAGGTGAGGTTGGGGCACCAGGAAGGGAGGCCAGCAAGGGCTGCAGGGACACAAGCACAGGGTGGGGCTGAGAGGGGCGTGTGGGCATGTGTGGAGGGGCCGGCTCTAGGGGCCATCTCTTCCTTTAGCAAGGCTGGCTTCCTATGGCCTACAGGACTACAGCTGTGAAAGTCACCAACGCTGGGGAGAGTCACTACTCGGGCCCAGATGAGCCTGTCACACGTCTCCTGGGGGGCATTGGGTCTGTCTTTATTGAGCTAGATATCTGCATGTCTCCATGGGCAGCATGCATTTCTCTGGGGCGAGAGCACAGAGCAACAGGTCCTGGGGCCTCAAGACCCAGAGTCTTGCAGTTTACAAAGAACCTTCAACGACATGACAGTGGGATGCCCAGTGGGGAAGGGCTGGGTGCACTGCTGGCTCCCACCCGGGCAAGCTGTTCTCACCAGGCGCTGTAAGTCTCCAAGAACGGAGCGAGCATCGTCAACCCCACAAGACCTCTGCGGCCCCCTCCCCTCAGCGAGGCCTTTCCCTGGTCCCCCCTGCAGCACACCTGCATCTCCTGTTCCAGCACTGATCAGGCCATCTCACCTCGTTCCCCTGGTCTGTTGGGAGTTAGCACTGATGCCCAGCTACTCTGCAAACTTCCTGACCACTTGCCTCCTTACTTCTACTCTCCCTGCCCTGCATTTGACACAGAGTTGAGTTAAGATCCAAGTGGAGTCAGGAGGCCAGGGTGTGCAGTGCACAGCCCCGTGTCTGGTAGGTGGCCTGGTTGAGGGGTGTGGAGGCTCCAGCCTTATGGGGACACAATGTACTTATGCACCTGGGGCCAAACCTCACTGGACTGCAACCCATTGGGCAGGGCAGTGCGGGCACAGAAACCAGGCCTTTCTTTTTCTGTGACCCCTAGGTGGCTTGAGGTGATGTGTGTGGCTCCACCTCAGTAAGGGCAAGGACCTTCCTTCCACTACCCATTCAGGGCTTCTCTGCCACTGCTGTCTCCTTATTTTTCCTTGACTTTGACTTTAAACTTCTCCTTACACATATTTCTATTTTATGTAAGTCACTTAGAATCCTTTGTGGTATTAACTGAGGTGTAATAAGTAAATGAATGACATCAAAACTGAAACAAAAGAGAAGAGGTTTCTGTTTGTCCAGAGTCACCCAGGGTATTCAGCTACCACAGAAACTCAGTTTCGGGGGGATGCTGGTTAATGATTTACTCTATTCTGAGATTATCGGTGAGCTGTGATCGCTCCAGCCAGAGCCTGAAAGGGAATCAGGCAGTGGGTTTAGAAGAACCGGGACACACTCTGATTTCTCAGGACCTCACGCAGGGAGGATGGCACTGGAAATGGTGTTAATCAGAGTCAGAGTGAGATGGACCTCCAAGGAGCAGAGGACGTGGGCAGGGCTGCATTGTGACTTTCAGGGACCCTAGGCTCTTTTGCCTTTGTGGGTTCCTTCCTGCATAAAAACATACAAGGAATTATTTTATAACTATGGTGTAGAAAGATGAAATAATCCTGGCTGGATTCATTGTGACATATTCATTTTCCCCTTGAATTTATTTTTATTTTTATTTTTTTAATTATTATTATTTTTTTTTCCTTTTTATCTTTTTTTACTGACCGGTAACAGGATCGCAACCCTCAGTGTCGCGCCTGTACCGGGGACCGGCAACGGGATCGCAACCCTCGGTGTCGCGCCCGCACCGCGCTCAGCCAGTGAGCGGGAACCAGTCTCCACATGGGATCCGAACCCTCAGAGGGAGCACCGCCGCACTCCCAAGTGGCGCACTCTCCAGTGCGCCACCGGGCCGGCCCATTCCCCCCTGAATTTAAAAGAAGTAAAAATCAAAATACTTTTGTGGCTCCTAAAAGTCCCGTGGGCCTAGTCTGTATGGCTGCTGTGCCTGCTGAAGAAGTTGGCCCTGGGTAGGGCTGTGGGAATCCAGCTCAGCGTGGGAAGAGTTCTTGGGCTCAGGACTATTGGGAATGTGTTCCCTCCTGGAACATTCCCTTGGTAGGAAAAGCACCTTGTGCCAGCTGGAGTCTTGGGCCTAGGGGACTACATGTTTCTACCATGTGGGGAGGGCACAGATGAGCTCCATTTGTGTCCACACAGATCAACTCCGGTTCAACCACTGCACTGCTCAAATGAGGAAGCCAAGACTTGAGGAAGTTGTCCGATTTCCAAAATAACTGGTGGATATTTAGAATAAGAATGCCAGTACCTCTCCTTTGGGTCTGGGCAGCGTGTGGTTCCACTATGACACAAGACCTTGTGAGTGTGACCTGTCTGACTTTAAGCTTCCTTTGTGCTGTCTACAAAGATGTATAAAGAAAGGTAAAATATAAACAAGATGAGGAGAGTGCTTAAACTACTGGAGTAGTTTGTTGTTTTCAAAGCCCTTAAAGCACCAATATATGTTGTAAAACAGCTAACAATAAACCTGCATGTTACACCATAGGTAATACCTATCTAGTCGTTAAAATCAGTTTCCTGAGAACTTTACCAAGCAGTGCACTATGAATGGAAAGCAATAAAACCCTATTTTTTTTTGTCTTTTTTCCGTGTCCGGCAACGGATCACAACCCTCAGTGTTGCCCCCGCGCCTCGCTCAGCCAGTGAGCGGGAACCGGTCTGTATGTGGGATCCGAACCCTCGGCGGGAGCGCCTCCGCGCTTCCCAAGCGGCGCACTAGCGCAGTGCGCCACCGGGCTGGCCCCAAACCCTATTTCTTAAAAAATAAAAATAAGTCCAAATTGGCTCAGTCTGGCCTAGATTTATGAGTGTTTTCTGAGTGTTCTTTGCTGGAGTGGAAGGAAGATGAGGCAAAGCTCCTTCAAGTGCTTATTGTGGGTGAACCTGCAGATTCATATCAAGTGAGCAGCCACGGTCAGCAGTAGCCGGTACTAGTGACTGCAGCTCAAAAGGGCAAAAAACAAGACAAGCAGAACAACATAAAACCCTACTGAACCCCACGAGCAATACCAAATGGCCGCTTTGTATTGCTGGGGGCCTTCAGCACAACTGCACCTTAAGTGGTCAAATAGCTGTGTGATGGACTTGGGATATGTTACAATCGACATTGCTTAGTCCAGTCTCTCTGTTGGACTTCACCTTTCAAAGACTTACTCCATACTTCTGAGGACCCCTGCTGCTGGGATGTCCTGCTTTCACAAGAAAGAAGGTATTTAATTTAATGATTCATCAGGATCATGAATTGCCATGTTTTGCCTTTTTTAATAATAAAAATTAATGAGTTTAAGATATTCTTAGACACACCTAACTTGGCAAACATCACGAACCTCTACATTTATGTAAATTCACACATGAGCTAGCTGGCCCCTTAGTGCTGGCTGGCCCTCTTTGGCACTGAAATCTTAATGATTTATTAAGCTTCAATAATTAATAAGTGTGCACAAATGTCATGCAAACATTACAACCATACTCGTAAACAAAAAGTGTATTAGAGACACAGACTTATACAAAACATCCTGTAAACAAACATTTTCTGTACAAAATATGCAGGTATTTTTCTTTTTTCTTTTTAATAATCTGTAAGATGCATCATATTTCTGGCATTTTCAAAAAGTGAAAACTGTATAAAAATAAATATTCTATGTACAAACACACACACAGGCCAGTCCAAGGTTAGAGGCATCACTGCAAAACAAAAACAAAACGTTAGTTTCAGTGCATCTGCAGATGTCTATTTCCCTTGTAGAAAGAAAGTAGATCTTGCCTTGGGTCGAATGGGAACTCTGAACAGGGAAACCGGGGGAAACACGTACCCCCTAGGTGGAAGAAACTGGTGGACTGTAAGCACCCTGAGGGTGGGAAACCCAACTTCCACCTTCCAGTGACTTCCCTTTATGCCTCTAGAGGGCACTTTCTCTCTGTGCTGCCTTTGGAGGCCGGGCTGTTTAATTGCACTGTCCCAGATTGAATTTGTGGTGTGAACCAACAGACATAGGGTCTGTAGATGCTTCTCGAAGACACTGTAGCCCTTGATAGCAGCTGTTCTTCGCCTGCTAAGCTCAACCACTTCTACCTCCTAACCATCAGCTGCAACCAGAAAATCTTTTTCTCAGGGAGCAAGGGTCGGGGGTCTTATTTGACACACCTGTGGCCTGCTTCTGTGGTGCTTTAACTAAGTCAAGGAGGAACTCAACAAGAGAACGAGGCCCAGCTTGAGGGACAGATTCCTGGGGAGGCATTTCTCTTGAGAGTTGAGCTTTTCCTTTCTTTGGGTAGGGGGTGCCTTAGGTGCCCAGGCAAGGAGGTATGCTACCTGGACCTGGTGTCTTGCTGGTTTCAATACTTTTACCCAACTCTGTGAGCTAATTGAGATGCTGAGCATCTCAGCGTGTGTGGCAGGGTGGGGTGGGGGGGGGTGTCATTCATCGCACTGTAAGCCTGCCTCTGCTGTCACTGGAACAGGACTGGGTTAGCCAAGCACAGACTCTTGAACAGGTTGGGGTCTTCAGCCCTTTTATGAAGATGAACCAACATTTCGAGACAGTGGTGGTGGAGGGTTGGTGAGAAGACTGAGTGGGAGGTGAGGCAGAGTGGGGCAGCGTGGCAGCTGCCACCTTTGCTGGGGACCAAAGTGGGCTTTTGGACTAGCAAGTCAATGGCCCTTGTCAAGCTGTAGAGCCCTTGCTCTGGGAGCCATGGCTGAACGGGGTGCTTGCGTGCAAGGACATGGCCCTGTGGTGTCAGGCTGCTTTAATGATGGCAGATGCCAAGGCAAGTGTGAATAAGTGAAAATCCCTGGTAAAAAATCTGAGAACCCAGGAGAGGTTGGGCTGTGGATCACATGTGTGAAAGCACGAGGCTCCGACAGCTTACGTTCAAGGGGAAGGGTGGAGTGGTGAGCAGGACATTCTCTAGGAAGAGGTGTAAAAGCCACATGAGTTTGGAATTTAAGCAATTAGATGTTCTACTTCTGGATAAATGTCCTGATGTGGCGTAATTGACCTCATATGAATGCTATGATAGTAGCTAACTGATAACGACTTTTACAACACGGTCTGCAACTCCTTGGAGGAAAGGTACTACATAAGCTGACGACACAAAGCATGAAGATATCATCTGTGTGGCTACATGGCAATTCTATACACTGGGGTTTGCTGACACCTTAAAAATCATTTTAAAATGATCTCCAAGTGTGTGTAGTGCATGGTGTGTTTAATGGGCACCCACCCTGCCTTCGAGATTGTGCCTTTTCTGACCCATGTCTTGCTGCCAAAAGGCAGAATGCAAATTGTGCAAGCTTTATAGAACTGGAGAATGGAGCCCAAGTACACCTGTGCCCCTGAGGCAGTGCAAGCCAGGGAAACCTTACCTTGTTCCAGCAGCCCTGGACTGGTAGGCCGTCTTCACCCTGCAGAGAGGAGGGAAGGCAGAGGGCTCAGATGCTCTGGGACTGTCCACCAAGCAGGCAGGACAGGGGCAACAAGGGCCACAAACATTTCGACAGCTGATCGGGATGTGGCCCACCCACTACTGTCTGTTTCTCTTCTCTACTCCAGGTCAGAACCTCGGAGGGGGGTGGGAAACAAAGCTGGCTGTTTTCTCATTGGCTAAGGTCACATGTAGCTAGAGTGCAAGGCCGAGAGGTCTGTCCTAGCCTGTGGGGCCAGGAAGCAGATGTCCCGGACTGCTGTGAGAGGACAGTCTCTGCTCTAGCTCTACATCGTGCTGGATGCTTGTGGGCAAGTCACTTAGCACTTGGGGCCTCAGTTTCCTCCTCTGTAAAACCAAGGCAAGGGTGGACCTCTCAGGGCCCTCCCAAGCGTCCCATCCTCCTGTTTGTCTCTCTTCCTAAGCAGTTGGAAGAGGATGCCTAGACAGTCCCTGTATGATGACCAACACTGGGATGGAGATGGGGGTGTGCAGAGGGACAGGCAACCTCATGGGCATTGTGACATGGCCCTGAGTTACCTTCAGCAAGAAGACAAGGGTTTCTGGCACAGCCTCAGATACTGCTGGGAATCTGGGGGTAAAATGCAGTAGCAGGGTGGGAATCAGCTGCACACTGACTCCTTTGTTGGGGGTGACCACGGAGCACCCTGCAGCCTCAGGTGGTTCTGCCTGTGGTGATGGGAATGTTTCTGAGTCTTCTGGGGCCCTAATATCCTGGCCTCTCTGGTACACCATGGGAGGAAAGTAGAAATCTTAAAGAGACAAAGTGGGGAGGGTGAGGCTGAACCAAGGGCAAAGGTCTGATTCTCAGTCCCAGTCTACTAGAAAGGGCAACCCAGATTCTAGAATTCCAGGATCCAGGGCAGAGGAAGAGATGGACACAGGGTTTCAGGGGAAGTAGAAATCTTAAAGAGACAAAGTGGGGAGGGTGAGGCTGAACCAAGGGCAAAGGTCTGATTCTCAGTCCCAGTCTACTAGAAAGGGCAGCCCAGATTCTAGAATTCCAGGATCCAGGGCAGAGGAAGAGATGGACACAGGGTTTCAGGGGATTGGAGCAAGTGCTCAGACCCGAGGGAGGTTGAATGGGAGCCCTCTGTGCCCTGGACCAACTTCATCCACTCTCCCCAGGTGCCTAAGCCACTCACGGCCTGACATCAGCAGCCACTGGCCTCAACACGGAGAACTGAGGAGGTCTAGCTACCTTATACTCAAATCATGATCAATAACTCCCCCTGCTCCCCAGGTCCATAATAACACAACACAGGAGGCAGAACAAGAAACAAAAAAGGGAACATACGGACACCTCCACAACAAAATTAATAAACAAATGACACATCGATATGGGATGTTACTGGAGAAAATGCCATTTTGCAGGAATGGCCAAATGGGGGTGACCTTCATTTCCCGCCCTGGGTCGGGGAAGGGACTGCAGAAGGATTGGTGCAATCCAAGTTCCACAATGGCCCTCAGCCCCTTCCCCAGCCCCCCACCGTGCACACACTTCACACGGGCTCCGGAAGGGAGAGGAGCCTCCAGGCCAGAGAGGCGTTCCCATTGGCACATGGCTGGTGGCAGGGGGTGTGGTGGAGGGCAGGGCAGACAGAGAAGGGACAGTACGTGCGGTGAGGAGCAGGGAGGCCAAGGCTGCTGCCCGCAGAACTAAAGGTGCTCAGATCATGGGAGGGGATTGTGGTCCAGGCAAGAGGTGGCCAGTGATTAATGCAAGTGCTGTGGAGGGACCAGGACATTTCACGGCTGAGAAAGGTGCCTGCACATGCTGCATGCTCGGGGGTCAACAGGCAGGACCAGCAGGGGACAGGACACATACAAATGGGAGCTAGATTCCAGGTTCTAGATTCTGCTTGCTTGTTCTGTGCCCTCCTTTTGTTGTGTGCGCTGGCCCTAAAAAGTCCCTAGTGTCCTTCGAGGAGCCTACAGTCACCTCTCAGTATCACACACATATTTTCTTATAACTTCTCCTCTTTTGCTCAAAGAGAATTCCTATGTGAGCCCAGGGTGGGGATGTGAGGCCAGGATCTCATCTGACTATTACTGGTATGAAAATAGCTCCTGGACACTATATCTATGGGGGAAGTTTGGGGAAAGCAGGAACTTCTTGAGTTGATTGCCTTGGAATGAAATGACACCCTCTGCTTCTTTTGCAGTAAGTTAGGAGGATCAGCATGGAAGCCCAGAATGTCCCCTTCTAGAGAGGGGCTGGGCAGGTGGGAACAAACTGCTGCCTCCTAGCCCGGGACATGCTTGAAAGAGGGGTCCCTAGCTGCCTCCTTAACTACATTCTCAACCTTTCCATCTCTCCCAGACTCTTCAGTGGGGAGCCACCTGAAGATGAAAGAAAGGAACACCAAAAGAGGGTCTTGTAATTTCTTCTGGGATTTAAGCAAAAAGGACAAACCTTTAGGATCTAAAAACCTGATCTTGGAACATCCCCTAGTTCTGATGGTGTCACTTGGGCAGTGAGCCAGGACCCAGCTTGGACGAATAGGCAGGGTGGCCCCCTCTTGCACCTCGGTTCTAGAACTTGCCAGTCTTCCCTATGTCTAAGCATACCCATCTGTCCCCTGCTAAATCGTGAGGTGATGCAGGGGGCAGGGGATGCGGAGCTCACTCGGGTATCTTATTTCAATGTTGTGCCAGCTGTTCAGCCAGTGCATGCTGAACTAACTGCATTGCATGAAGGAAACAGTCACCATCCTAAGGACTTCTCCAGAGAATCCACTTTCCTAGTTTTATCTCTGGTGGCAGATTTGTCTAGAAGCAGTTTGGAAATGAGTATCCGATGCAGCCAAAGCTGGCTTCAGGGTGGGAGGGACGGCTCACATTAAGGTGATGTGCTTTAGAAGCAGTAGCAGGAGGGAGCTAAGGAAACATCACAGCAAACTTTGCATGCAGAGGGCGGCATGGCTGGGAGCCCCCAAAGCACTAGCCAAGGCAGGGTGACCTTTGGTGTCTACTGAGTGAAGAAGCAGGAAGTGCGGGCTGAATGGATGGAGTGGAAGGAGTGTGCAGGGTAGCTGCTGAGGCACACGGGTACCAACCACACACATGGGGAAGCCCAAATCGGCCATGCAGGCAAGGGAGGGCGGTGCCATACCAATGGGCATGGGGCATCCAGTCCGTCCAGGCCTGGTAACCCCGGCTCCCCTTTCTCTCCTTTAAAACCTCGGTGTCCCTGTTCACAAAACCAACCATGATGATTATTTAGGTCAAGGCTGGCCAGCTCCAGCCACGGAGTGGAGAGGCCCAGTCCTACCCTGGCCAGGATGCAGGATCCTCGAGACATTTACAGATAGGAGCTAGATTCCAGTTGACCCCCCATTTTCCAAATTCAGCCTTTCTGCTCTGGAGAGTTCCACTTGAGAACATGTCCAATCAGCCTCATCTCCATTTAGGCCTCTCTCCATGTATAGACTCACTTGGCATAACACAGACCAACTTCAACTTTAGTGCATCATAATTTTCAGAACCTTGAAATGGATTGGAAAGGCATTTGAGAAGCCTGGCAGATGCGCCACAGATCATTAATTATTGGCTCATCCGGGAGGCCATCCTGTGGGATGTCCAACCCTGCTCTGCAGCTTCAGAGGTTTCAGCTCATGGCTAGTGGGTGTTGGGAGGCTGCATGCTAAGCACCCCTTGTCTGGCCTTGTTCTGCCCTGTTCTGAGCATCGGCAGCCCTCAGGAGATGCTATCTCTGGTGTCCTGCATCCTGACCGAGTGAGGATTCAGACAGCTTGAACTGCTAGCCACAGAGGTGGCCACAAAACAAAGAAGGCAAATCTGAGTCTCACAAATGCTAACACCGGCTTCCAAAGCCATCCTGGAGCTAAGAACCAGGCCTTCTCTGAAAACCCCTTTCCTCAGGGTTTCTTCACTTCCACACATCAATTGTTCTGCATCTTCAAAGGAAAAGGATTCAAAGGAAAGGAATTTAGCCAGAATGACTTGCAGCTGTGGTTTAAAGGCAAACCCAACAGCAGGCAGAATTTCTCTGGTCAAATAAACAGATAGGTTTTGGTAGCATCAGTGCAGTCATTTGGTTCTCATCTTAGTTTATTTGCCTGCTTTGTTTCCAACTTGCAAACCCCAAGGGAAAGACCAGAACAATGCAAGTGACAAACGGAAACATACCAGTGGGCAGGGGGCATCTAATCCAGGCGCTCCTTGGTCTCCCTTATCCCCTTTAGGCCCTCTAGAGCCTTTCTTCCCCCTCTCCCCCTGTAAATAATGGTTTAGTCCAAGAAAAAAAACATCGAAACTTTAGGATCATTCATGTGTTAAGGTTAGAGACAGAAAAAGAAAAATTAAATTAAAGAGGGAAAAATAGATTCTCTTAATTGGGATATTCTTCCCAACAGGATTTGGGGTCAATACCCACCTCCCGCCTCTAAGCACTGAGGAGTTGGCAAGGTGGCTGGGGAGGGGGTGGGGAACCGGAGGGCTCAGGGCTGGAAGTGGAGGAAAAGCAGATTGAAGATACTGGTGGCCAACTTTGCTAATACTAAGCCCAGAGTGGGTCTGTGATGAACAGCGTGACTGGGGGACTATCTTTAAAAGGCTTTGGGCTGACAACCTTTTGCCCCAGTTGGTTTTCAACCCATTCTATTAGGAGGCAAGGTGATTTTATTTATAGCTCTGAAGTGGGTGCATGCATGGCGTGAACGCAGCATGCACGAGCATATGTGTGTACATGCTTGTGCATGTGTGTGTGTGTGCATGGCTGGGGAGGCACATGCTTTGTGTAGGCATGGACGAGTGTATGTGATTGGGCATGTGCACGTGCCTGTGTGCCTGTACGTGTGTGCGTGTGCATGTGTGCATGTGCACATGTGTATGTGTGTGTCCAGGGCTCATGGGTGGCCCTTGGTTCTCAGCTGGGTCCTCCCATTCTATGTGTGTCTCTGGTTCATCCTGGGCTGAAGTCATAAACAGCTATTTGCCTGTGGACAAGCTGGGTCAAGGAATCCATTTGTTTCTGAAAAGCTTTGGAAAACATCATCTTTCCCAATTGAGCCCTATTTTGTATGTGCCAGGGTCCATTTAAAGAAGAACTGTGGGGAGTTCTTAAAAGTGGAGCATCAACTCTGTAATGACTTTTAATTTGAATGTTCATAGGTCATGTTTCCTTGAAAAGGGGGTGAGTGTGCCCCTAGGGAGTCTTCTTGGGAACTCTTCTCCTCCATGGAAGGCCAATTGTCTAGTGCTTGGGGACTTCCTCAGTGTTACTCCAGGATGACAAGACCATGAAGGCTGGGCATCATATTGGTCAGAACAAAGGCTGGGAGTCAGAGCTGGTTCTTTTTTTTGGTGACTGGCTGCTACAGGGATCAAGCCCTCAAACTTGCTTGGTTTTATCAGGAGCATGCTCAGACCAACTAAGCTAACTGGCCAGCCCAGCTTCTGTCGATTATCAGAAGAGTGACTTTGGGAAGCTACTTAACTTCTCTGAGCCTCAGTTTCTTCAACTCTAAGATGGGTACAATAACACTTGCCTCAAAAATTTGTTGTGAGGCCTTTGTGCACATTAAAAGCTTAATAATATTTACTGGCATATAGAACATGCTCAGTAAATGATAGCTGCTTCATAATGATGATAATAATAATTATTATTTCTTATTAGCCAGTGTAGGAGCCAGAGCTGCTGCCAAAGGCACATCTCAGGATCAGGAGTCTTGTTGCGTCTGCAGTGTTCTTGTAGTGGAAGGCTACAGGGTATAAGTTTGTTAGAGGAAAGCAGGGGATAAGAATATTTTTGATGTTTGCCTGGATCCTTGTAAATTACCCACATTTCTTGATTCCAGAGGTTGTCTGCAATTGCCAATGCATTATTCTAGAGCTGCTGCCAAAGGCACATCTCAGGATCAGGAGTCTTGTTGTGTCTGCAGTGTTCTTGTAGTGGAAGGCTACAGGGTATAAGTTTGTTAGAGGAAAGCAGGGGATAAGAATATTTTTGATGTTTGCCTGGATCTTTGTAAATTACCCACATTTCTTGATTCCAGAGGTTGTCTGCAATTGCCAATGCATTATTCTAAATGAATTTTCTAAAATGCAAATCCTTGCTTAGAAAATGGTGTGTTTAAGAGGAAATATGTATGTGCACATGAGGTGTAATCCCATTGGCTCGAAGATACACCCACCAAAGAGAACATCATGGCACGAATAATCCCCAAATGGTGGACAAGCAAAACCACTAGGTATTTGAATGTGGAAGCCCCATGGTCATGGTGAAGTTTCTCAGGAGTGTGGCCCCTCACTCTCTTTGGGTCACAAACACAGTTTCCTAATTAAGAATGTGGGCAAAGAGAGGGGGGATCCAGGACCTGGGTGATTTGCCCGTAGGTAACAGAGGGTTGACCACTTTCCAGACTTTCACAAGGGGTAACTTACACTATGGGGTGTTATATTCTAAGGGCAGGGGCAATCACCCAAATCAGGCACCCTTTGAAGATATTAGAGGAGTAGCTTTACCTACATCCTCTCTGTGGCACATCCCCCGCCCCCAGAGTGACACGAAAGAGGCCCTGGCACAGAGGGAATTCTAGCTTGTAAGGGGGAAAGGGGCAAGTCAAGTCAAGCAGCAGAGGTTTCTTAAAAAATATAAATAAATGTATAAAAATTGAGTTTATAGGAAGTAAACTGAAAGCTGGGAGAGGGGAAAGGAAAAGGTAAGGGACACGGGATTATTATAATGGGGTGAATGTATCTGTGGGGGGAGAAAGATCGAAGGAGTAAAGGAAGGAAGAGGCAGGCCCAGGCCAAAAGAGAGCAGGGAGAGAGAGGCGAGGAGCCAGGTGGGCTTAGGGAAGCAGAACCACACGTGTGCACGCGGGCGTGCCGGGGTGACCAGCAGCCTCACTGCGTGCACTCAGACCTTTTCAGCTGGCTGGCTGGTAGGCAGCTCCGCGGTACCACCCAATTTTCCTGATAATTAAATTGCTAGATTCATGCCACCCTTTATCCTTTGATTTCTTATCCTACATGGGGCCAGATTCGCAGAACGATGAAGGTACTTCAAAAAGTTCCCGGAAAAGGCCGGCCCAGTGGCGCACTGGATAGTGCGCCGCTTGGGAAGCGCGGCGGCGCTCCCGCCCGAGGGTTCGGATCCCACATACAGACCGGTTCCCGCTGAGCGAGGCGCAGGAGCAACACCAAGGTTTGCAATCCCATTGCCGGTCCCCGGTCCAGTACGGGGGCAACACTGAGGGTTGCGATCCATTGCCGGACACGGAAAAAGACAAAAGACAAAAAAAAAAAAAAAAAAAAAGTTCCCGGAAAAATTCTTACTATCTCTTAATTCCATTTTCCCACAAACTTTTTGAAGCACCCTCATACTTAGGGACAAGGGAAGCGGAGGGCCCTGAGTGACAAAGGCAGAACGTTCTTTCCGCCGGCATGTGTGTCCTTAGAAAGCTCCCTTTTTCGGGCTCCGGGCCTTTGCCCACTCCTGCAAGGACGTCCTCATTCCATGAACAGGAAAGAGGGTCTGAGACTGTCCCCCAGTGGACACAGTAAGCATGATTGGAACGCTGTGTCTTGGTTTGCTGTGAGAGAGAACGAATTTCTGATGGGCCAAGTTCGGGAGCTGCTCTACAGGGAGCCATCCTCCAAAGCTCAGGTGTGCTGGGGGCTTGGAAGCTCCTAACTACAATGTTGTCTTATCCCTTCTGGCATTTGACCTTTATGAAAATGTCGGTATTCGGAACTTTCAGGCGTCAAAAACAAAACAAAACAGAACAAAACACCCCACAACTGTCCATGGTAAAGCAAGTGCTGTCTCTGCCTGGGCCTTTCTCTGATCTGGAGGCTTTGTTACCAAACCCTCATATCTCCCCCCAAAGTCCCGCTAGGGCTCATGGTATAAAGATGTTTGAACGAGGAGGCGAGATTTAGGCGAGACTCTTCCAGGACATTCTGGCATCCTCAGAGCCAAATCTCTTGAATGAATAGAATAAGCTGTTCCTTGATTCAGAAACTTGCTCTCTGGAATAAGTCCATTGGCTCTTTATGGTGTATTCAAAAGAAGGTTCGTGCAACTTTACTGGTCTCTGAACTTGACTTTTGCTAAGAGACATATTCCTAATTTACATATGGGGTGGGGGAAAGTGTGTCAAACACTAGGAAGGGGAAGTGGAGGAGAAATATTTTCCAGCTGATTCCTGGGGTCTCAGTGGCTCATTCAACAACCTGGGTTCCTCACACACCAGGGCCACAAGCCTCTGCCTCCATCTGTGATGAGGATACTCTGCCCACCCTGCCTTTACCTCCAGAGCAACACAGTCACCATCACTTGAAGGACTGATTTTGTAGCCCCGTGTTGCAAGCCAACTGAAAAAGTCTTAAGAAATAGGTTTAAAAAATATTAAGTGAATATAATAAAGAAAACCAGAACATTTTAGAAATAAATTAGAAAGGAGGTTAGTATGCCAACCAAGAGGTGGAATGATCGAATATTTTAGAAGCCTAAATTCTTTGATGCCACACTAAGGAAAGTGGCTTCCCAGCCTGCCTTAAAAGGCTGGCCACATATGTGGAAGTAGGTCTGTTTGTTCCAGTGGTTTCTAGATTGGGTCTCCCCATGGACAGTCTGGTAGGGGTAGCTCTGCCTGCTCCCTCTTGTTTATAGAATATGTGGATCAAATTTAGCTGCTTTTGAACAGCTGCTAGTGAAGAGTATTTAGGGATATAGAAGTGCTCAATAAATACATCTTAAACGGAGGAGAATGGGATTCATTGGTGCCAGATATAAACATACAGATTCTGGCCCTTTCTATTCGTGAACATCAGTGTTCAAAGATCAGCCAGAAGACCTGGGTTCTGGAAGCCACATGCTCTGCCTCTAACTCTGTGGGAGCTCAGAATGTTTTATCCTTCTGGGCCTTGTTTCTCCATCTCGTCCTCACATTCCTTCTCTTCTTACTCTAAGGTTCTTGGATTTTGTGACCCACTAGAAGATGCACTTGGGCCTCTAAGGGGCATGGGCAGCACTCAGAGAACCACTGTGAGGAAGCAACATAGGGAACATTCTAGAAAGGAACCCAAAGGTCATCTCTCGGCCAGATGCAGTTAAGTTACCCCTGCTGGGCCCAAATGCCGAAGGGCATGGTGAGTGTAATGCCCATCACGTAGCTGTGGGTGCTCTGGATGCTCAGTAAATGTGTCTTGGTGAAGGTGGCAGAAAACAAGGGAGGGTGAAGGGCCTGAGAAGGAGCAATGCGTTTCGTAGTCCTGCCAACTTGTTCCAAGGGAAATAGTGGCTGTGATTTTTTTTTAACGGGTTGGCTGCTTACAATGTCTGTCTGCTTGTTCTTGGAACTGGAATTTATTTTCTCTTTCACCAGTGGCCTGGAATACCTGGCAAAACTAAGTTTCAGGAGGAGAAGACGAGGTAACAATTGATCTAAAAATATCACTTAGGGGCCCATTATCAGGGCAACCTAGAGAGTGCTGGACACATGACCCCGGTTACTGGATGGCAATGCTAGTCTGATGGCCACCATGGGATTCAGTCTCCCCTTGTCATGTGGAAAAATGCATGCTTCAATTTCAGAATGAGGCCCCAAGCTACCTACATGCCATGGAATAGAACCCTTACTATAAAGCCTTTCGATTTAGGATGATTTATCAGGAACAACTGTATCTGCCGTGTTGTGTCAGAAATTCTCATCGATCATTCCACCGCATCACGAAGGTATTAGTAACCAGAGCCGAAGTGCCAGGGCTCAGACTCACCCGGTTTCCTTTGTCCCCGGGTGGTCCATGTAAACCCTACAATAAATTGTAGAAACAAGACACATTAATGAGAAAACACAGGATGGTCATGCAGTCCTTTCTTCCAGGCTCGTAAAGCTCTTCACGATGCCTAATCTACTGGAGACAGGTTTGATTATCCCCATTTTACAGAAAGGGGGCCAAAAAGCCAGTTGCTCAAGGAACTTGACTTAGAGGCAACTGGTGAGTTATGGGCAGAGCCCAGAGCACGGTTCTGGTTCCCCTCTCCAGCCATGGCCTGGGCTGCAGGTGTGTTCTTCCGAGATCACTTGCGTGGGACAGCGGGGGGTTCTGAGGATACGGTCTGGGAGCAAGGTTCGCTCTTGGCAGAGGAGAGTTCCCATGGCTGTCCTGTCAGGCTCTTGCTAGAAAAATGACCCACCAGCTCCTCAGACCTTCTTTTCAAGGTGATCAATGCTGTCTATTCTTCAGCTAGGGTAATGAGCACCAGGCAGAGACTGGCCTGGACGTGCCTACTTGGCCCACAGATGTACAGCCTTCAAGTGGACGGGAAACAAAAGTCCAGACTTTCACAGGCAATGGGAAAATATGCTCCAGATGGAAAGCCATGTCTGTTCTTCAAGGTCCGGCCCCTTTGGGAAAGCTGCTCCCCTCATGAAGCATGTATCATGGATGAAGCATGCATCGTGGATGAAGCATGCATCATGGATGAAGCATGCATCATGGATGAAGCATGCATCATGGATGAAGCATGCATCATGGTTGAAGCATGTATCATGGAGATCTGCATTTGATCTGCCCCCTCTTCGAGGGCAGGGGCTGTGGCACGTGCCCCTGAAAGGCCTAGAGCGGGAGAGGCTCATGATCTGCTGCTATATCCTGTCAGGGGTCTCAGAGGATGAGGCCGAGGTCCCCTAACAGTGCCTGGCAGGAGGGTCTAGCCCATCACCAGTTGCCGCTTGGCAGCTTCCTCTGTCACAGAAACGAGAATGCCCCTTTGGCCCCAGATTTTCACCCTAGGCTCTGTGTGTTCTGTTTGGACAGTGTTTCTAATGGGGGGCAGGGGTGGTGGAGAGAAACCTCCGATCCCAGGAGACTCACAGGAAGCCCAGCTGCTCCCGTTGGTCCTGTCATCCCAGGGTCTCCTTTGCTGCCCTGAAACAGGAGAAAGAAACCCATGAGTCCTCCCTGAAGCGGTGACAACCTTCCATCACTGTTTTTTCTATTTTGGTATGAAACCTGGGAAACTGCTCTGGCCCCATCACAGAGCCCCCCAGGAAGCCATGGCAATGTGGAAGGCAAAGGAGGGATGAGAAGCCCCCTCACTGGGCAGCGTCCGGGGGTCCTGGCTGGCCTGACGCAGAGCAAGGGAGGAGAACAAGGAGCAGGAAGGCAGGGGAAAGAGGAAGGGAAGAGAAAGGGAGCCTCGATTTCCTCCCTGAAGCCTCAGATATCACCCCTCAGAGCAGCCATCCGGGTTTCCCCAGAGGCTGATGATCGCAAAGAAGCCTACACCCCTCTGCAGAAGACCCCCACTCTCCCCACCCCTGAGACAGAGTTGGCAAGGTGGGCATGCGACAGGGGGAAGGGGTTGACACAGGTGGAGAACTCAGGGCTGCCCACTGAGGACCTGCGACCGAGCTTGTCCTCCAGCCCTGAGCATGTGGAAGCTCAGCCAACATCTCCACCCTGAGCTTTGCACACGCCGCCCTATGCGGGATGGGGCTGGAGCTCGGGGAGTCACGTGACGTGGCCAAGGTCACTCGATAGTGACTGTAGGAGCTGGGCCTAAGGCTCTGGCCTCTTGACTTCCTGGTGTCCTCCAAGAACTTTCTAAACACCACTGGCACTCTGTTCCATGCTGCTTCCCTGAATCACTACAAGGTTTAGGCATGTCCAGTGACAACAGCACAGGGGGCCTTGCCACACTGACCCCAAGACGGACACTAGGTGACCAGGAGCCAAGGCGGAGGAAGATCTGTCCACGCATAGCTATACGATGAGTACCCTCCCCCGCTGCCCCCCACTGCCGAACACCCAGGCCTGCCTGGCTCCCCACGTGCCGTGAGGATGGCCAGGAGAAGAGATGGAAGTGGGGAGAGATGAGGGCTGAGACTCTTGGGGCTGACTCCATGACCCTGGTGGGTCCTGGGCGCCGGGGCTGAGGAAGGACGGCCTGCCCCCTCCCTCCAGCCGCCCAGGCTCCTGGCCCACTGAGTGCTCACCCTCTCGCCCTTTGGTCCTGCTGGGCCTGGAACTCCAATTGGTCCTGGAGTACCCTGGGGAGGTGAAAGAAAGCAGAGGTGAGGGTCCCGATGCTGAGGCAGCCCTGGGAGCCCTGCCCAACGCTGCAGATGAGCTTGGCCCGAGGCCCAGTTTTCAAGGTTGGCGGGGCCAGGCTCGTTCAGGGCAGTCATTAGACTGGGCCGTGGCCCTTTTTGGGTTGGGGGGCCTTGGGGGAGAGAGAGTGCCTCCCCCCTGCCTCAGAGCCAGATTCATGGAATATAACCCTTTGCTTCACAACCAAGCTTGCCAAGGCTGAAAATGGTAGGAGAACGGTTGCTTAGTTTGCTTCCAGAAGCACCTGGGAAGGAGTCAACCCCATCCCAGGGGTGGGGCCGGGGGCTGGCACCCTTTTGCTGTTACAGCTCCACATGCAGCGGAAGGGTCTTCATGCCACAGAGACCCATGCGGACGCACACACAGAGGCAGGCGTGAGAGGGTCGTTCAGCCACCACCCATCCTGCCTGCCCGCGCTGCAGACCCCATCCCTGGTCCTTGGCCTCAGCCTCTGGCCAGGGCCTCCTCTCCCACTCCCAGGCTTGCAGAACAGGCTGCACTGGAAAGTGGATTATTATGCCTGGGATGTCTGCACTGACACTGGCTTGGCAGGGAGGTGTGTCCTGAGCTCTCCTAACCCAGGGCTGCGGGGAGGAGGGGGCTGGAGCCATTGGAGCTGCGTTGCTTGGAGACGGGGCAGGGCTTGCTATGGCATAGCCACGCATCTTCCCCAGGTTCCCGTTACAGCCTGACTAGATGAAGCCTGTATTTCAGAGCCTCTTGCTCTGCCCCAGATGAGGACATGTGGAGGGGTCGGGCTATGGGCAGCTCCTGGTGCCCTGAGCGTGGCTGTGAAAGGTGGGCATGAGCACTTGGGAAGTGCTGATCTACTTCCCAAGGAGAAAGAAAGAGCAATAAGATGTTCTCAGTGCCCCCTTTGCAACTGCGAGGGAAGAAGGGAGGCCGTGGGCATCCATGACAAGGGCACGGCAGTAAATTGAAGAAGCCAGATCAGGGTCATGGTTCAGAATAGGGCCTCCAGCCCTGCCTTGAAGCCTGAAAGCTCCTCGATACTGGAGAAATTCCTAGGCCTCTCTGTGTCAACTGTCCCATCTGCAAATGAGGAGGGTAACGTGAGGACCTGCCTCCCCGCTGCTGCCAGGCATACGTGCATGAATGCACGCCGAGCACTGGGTGGGGGGCCTGGCACCGAGGAAGTGCCCAGCAAGTGTTAAGATTGGCAGGGCAGGATTATATTTCCCATAAACGTCTTCCTTTAAAGTTGTGGTACTGATTTCATAAGAACCTGATTTCATGAGAAAAATAAAGTCTCAGGCTCAAGGGGACAGAGTACATGAATTTACACTGCTTCCCTCTGCCCAATATAAGTGGGATGAGCAGTTGGGAGGAAAGTCTTGGTTTCTCTGATTCCAGCCACAGGTCATCTCCCAGCCCTGACCTGATACCTGGGACAGGTGTGCTAGGCGAGGGGAGGAGGGACAGAGAGGGCCTGTGGTGGGGGAGCAAAGCATAACAATGCCTGGAAAACTGGGGTCGGTTCTCCATGCACAGGTGTCTACAGTGACAACTCCATCAATGAATGGGGGGACGGGATGTGGAAAGATCCATCATCTCGGGCAAGCCACATCCCCTCCTCT